AGGTGTACCCTTAAAGTGTCGATACATTTATTAAAAAAGTATCGATCCCTAAAACATCAAAACCCATAAGTATAATGTTCAATGAAACCGGTATAATTATACCAGTTTTATGAGAGAATATGTCTAAATCATGTATCAACACTTTTTTAGTTTGTGTCGATATTTTTGTCCAGAATAAAATATTAAAACTAACGAGGTGCAAGCATAAAGTGTCGATACTTATGGTCTAGAATGAATGCCAAAAAAGGTGTACCCTTAAAAAGTGTCGATACATTTATTAAAAAAATATCGATCCCTAAAACATCGAAACCCATAAGTATAATGTAATAGGTAAATGATCAATGAAATCAGTATAATTATACTGGTTTTATGAGAGAATAGGTCTAAATCATGTATCGACACTTTTTTAGTTTGTGTCGATATTTTTGTCCAGAATGAAATATTAATGCCCAACGAGGTGCAAGCTTAAAGTGTCGATACTTTTATAAAAAGTTTCGACACTTTATGAAATATCGAAACCGATAATTATAATGTAATAGGTAAATTTGCAATGTTACCGGTATAAATATACCAATTTACTTATAAAATAGGTCAATATAAGCGCTACCTATTACATTATATAAGCGCTACCTAATATGTTATTGTACTTGATAATATTTCCCGTTAAATACATATTTTATTATATAAGCGCTATCTATTACATTATATAAGCGTTACCTAATATGTTATTGTACTTGATAATATTTCCCGTTAAATATCTATTTTATTATATAAGCGCTATCTATTACATTATATAAGCGTTACCTAATATGTTATTGTACTTGATAATATTTCCGGTTAAATAATATAACATAACTGGTCTAAATTTTAACCGGCCACGCCGTATATTAGCCGTTTTTTAGGCGTCGCACCGCAGAACTACCCACATTGGTTTGGTTCTTTGTAGAAGCCGGAGGACAGAGTAAAAAAAGTAAAGTATAGCAGTGGTCATTGAACTATGTTAAAAGTATCATTTTTATCATTGAATTTTTAAAAATTATAAAATGATCATTATATTTATCAAATTATTATAAAATAGTCATTACAATATTATAATTAATTATGGAAGTTTGATAAATTTAATGATCATTTTATAATTATTCAAAAAAATTAATAATTATTTTATAATTTTTAAAAATTTAATGAATAAAACGATGATCACTATTAGACTATTACATAGTGAACAAGTCATATAAGTTACTACACATAAGGATGGGCATGGGACTAGAACCCGACCCAATCGAGTCGGATTTTTTTTTTAAATCGGGTTCGTGTCGGGTTGAGTTTTTTTAAAGGTGATGTTCGGGTCTGGTCAGATTCTGGTTTAGGGTAAAAAATATCCGGCCCAACCCGAAAAAAATATAATTTTACCTTATATATTTAGGAATAATTACAATAATACCCCTCTATATATTATTTTTTAATTAAATCATTGTTTTTATTTGATAAAAATAATATTTTTTATTATTTTGATTCGGGTCATATCGGTTCAAATTTTATCTCAAAAAGTCGGATCATGCTCGGGTTAAGTGAAGGGTATATGTTTTTTGGGTCGGGACGGGTTGGCCGAAACCCGACCCATGCCCATCCCTAACTACACACCTTAGATTCCATTGGTCACCCATCCAAAGAAACGGAAAGTAAAAGACCATTTAAAAGGAAAAATTATGGTTGGGACCAAAAGAAGAAGAAGAAAATATGAGATACGCACTCGGAAGAAGGAAAATATTTTAATGCAATGTGGGTCAACTGACCGAAACATGGATTCATGATCAATACCAATACCTACAAACTTCTCCATATTGTATAATAATAACAATTATCATTAGAATATAAAAATAAATGTAGGCCCCATAAGATAGCATCAACCATAGAATCTCCCACAGCTTTGAGGGCTTTGATATGATGTTGAAAATGAGAATTGTAGGTGAATCTGGTCCTACTTGTTTGGTTTTTCATGATGAGTGGTTGAGATTTAATATGACTATAGTAATCGTATCATACAAGAATTCATTTGATTTCACCTCTCTTTTTCATGTGATTCAACAGAGATTTTGTGGGCCAACCCCCTAAACGAACAATACAATGTTTTTTTCCATCGTATTTACATAAATCATCTATAGAATAAACATTTTATCTCAATTAATTATCTAAACAATATATACTCATGTCATGCACGTAAAGTAAATATATATTTGCTCGAATATGGTTTTCTAAAGTATGAATAATATGATACAATTTTACTTTCGACCAGAAAAATAGATTTTTCGACTCGATTCGACTCAAATTGATTTCAAGTTACAATTTCATAAACTCGATTCGACTAAAAAAAATTAAGTTCAAATCGAGTTGTAAAATACAACTCGAATAACTCGAAATTTTTAATAATTAGTGGATTTATTTTCGAACTTTAGTCGAGTCTTTCTACTTTGTATGATATATGTATATCACATGTGAAAGAAATATGAATAAATACATTTGTATTGTATATATGGTTATAAAAAATCACTTAAATTGGAATAAATAATATTATAATATTATAAATAGTTACAATTAAATTTAAACAGAAACTCAAAAAATAAACTCGAATTTTATAAGCTCGACTCGAAATTTTTTTAAACCAACTTCGAATTGTAAAATAGGACTTGTCAAATCAAATAACTTGAACTTTTTTGAACACATCCTTTATTAAATAATTTTATCGGTCGAGGTTTTTTAAAATGGAGTTACACGTAAACTATTCTGAATCTCGAATAATAAATTTAAAAATTCATTTTCTGTTTGAATGTATTGCGTGAACCCTTATTTCTATGTATGAACTAATAAATTCTTCCATCTATTGGTTAGTTTTAGAGCATGAAGTAATATTTGATTAATCCTGGTCGAATTATGAAGAACGATGAAGACAATAAAACCCTTTCATCAAATATTTAATATTATTATGTTTTCGATACCTTAAACCCAATTTAACTGCTACATAAAAATACCAATTATACACTGTTTTTTGTTGTTGGAAATATATATATTAAAGACAAGGGCATCAACAACATTGCCTTGGACTCCGCATGCAGGTATATATTACATGTTCGGCTCCACCATGGCCGAGTCTTCTCAATTTTTACCTCTCTTTATTATGATGAGTTATTACAGATCTGGATTCTGACGAGTGGTGCCGCTGCAAGTGCTACGGTCGTCGCATGAAACATAGACTGACAATATCAGAGGTAGGTCAGCTGAAGCCGACAAAAAAGCTACCACTTGTTCTTGTAGCCTATAACCCCACTGACCAAACCTCTCTTTTTTTTCCATATCTTTTCTTCATCCTCTTTATTATTTGCAAGTTGCAAGCCACCATACATCGATAGGTAGTTTTGTTGTACGGCTGGAAAATTTAAGATTAATTTACAATATATTTTAATTTAAAACATTTTCATGACTAATTTTAACTTAAAATGTCATTTTATCGACTTTAAAAAATTATATAATTATAACTGAAAATGTTATATTAGTTTTGTAATGACAACCTTTTAAGTTATAATTAAAATAGTAATGTAGTTCACATAATTTATTAGAAAATAATATAATATTTTCAATTTTTAATTTAAAATACTACCTAATTTACACTAAAAATTATACACTTGATAAATTTTAAAGTTACAACCAATTGCAGCCTTTTATTAACCCTACACTAATCGGTTGTATACTTGTATTTCAAACTCCCCTGCCATATCCTCTTTATTAGCCCTTCAAACTCTACACTGAAAGTGCTTAAACGTTTACCAGTGACACTATTTTCAACCCGTACTTGAATTTCATGGAAATAATGAAAACAGATGAAAGTACAAAGCATGTATCGTTCATGTTTTGCTATATTTTGATACCAATCGAAAATCGTCTCAAATCACTTCACAGGTTCAACAAAACAAAGAATGTATTGTTCTAGTAATGCCAAATGTGTCTTGTATGAAAGTGACATGTCATCAACGCCAAGAAACGACGCCTTGGGTTGTCGTTGTTGCCATGCATTTAATTTTAACCCAGAAGGAAAGAGAAGTGCAGTCTTGCAGATCAAGTTTCATGCAGGCAGAAAATTAGTTGTTGGTTTTGAAACCGAGTTTGCTGCTGCTACTGTCTTTATACATTAAACCCCCAGGAGCCTGTAATTCCATAAGCCACGACACATCCTTTTGAGGTAAAGCTTTTGGCTGAGTGTTTTCGAAAGGGAAAAAAAAAGATACCATCTCTAGCTGCAAGAGATATCGCCTGAAAATGCACAGTGTGTCCCCATCACAATCCTTTTCCGAGATGTGTTTTCGAAGCACAATGAATTGTCCTTGTCAATCGGACTCACTGATTTGGTGTTAGAAACTAAAGGGGGGAAAAACCCATCGATCGAGTAAATGGTACGATAACGATGAAATGCAATCTTAATATGGAACAATACGTGTCTCTTGTTGTCTTCACTAATTTCATATAAAGATCATATTCATTCATTCATGGTAGCTTGGAACAATACAGTAAGAATGAGGCTATCAAGTTATGAAATTTCCAACAGGGTCGTTATAATTTTTCCTTGTTTGAATATGGGGCTATTTGTTTACTAATATAACCCAGAAACAAAAATGATTTTATGGCTAACGAGTGGCTAAGGTGGCGAAACTTCGAACATTGGAGCCTCGACTTTAGCTTAAACTTGGCAGTCTTTTGAAAAATGCCAAACATTAAAGATCTCACCGTCTCCCATCAAAGACACAGACAAGAAAAAAGGTCTAAAGTGAAGAATTGAACAAACCAAATTAATACAATTCAAAAGAAGATAAGGCATGCACAAATGAAACCGAAACGCATTTCATTACACGCTGTACTAGAGAAAAGTGGGAAAACGTATCCAAAATTCCACTCGGAATTTACCATGTATCTTACCAGGACGACTTCTGGGAAGTGTTGAAACCTGGCAAATTCTAATAATAATTATCGACATCCCACGTACAAGACCCGAAATCGACGCCTAGTTCTACAGAAATATCAGCATAATCAAGTTCCATATGGTTTTCAGGTAACCTCGTTTCATCAAACAATATTGGTTCGAGATTATCAGAATTGAAGTAATCACATAAAACTCCCGGATCTGTTAATAAATACTCATCTGATAAGTCACTCGGTTCTGTTTGGAGTTGGTCGACAGGTTTCCACTCGCTTTCGATGTTCCCCGAAGAGCCATCTTTGGAGTCCGTTTGGAGTTCAGCTTCTTCGTTGGACTGGAATCTTAGAACTGATGTAGGTGAACAGGGAGACTGAAAGTCTTGAGCCGAATCATACCTGGAAATCATTTCAAGACCAATCTCCGGTGGAGAAGGTCTCACCGGAGGTTTCCCAAAGTTTGTGAGAGCATCGGGTCCTTTGATTCGAACCGCGGCTCGGTCGTACTCCAAAGCAGCTTCCTCAGCAGTGTCATAAGTGCCGAGCCAGACCCTGGTTCGACTCGTGGGGTCTCTGATCTCAGCCGCCCATCTTCCCCACGGCCGTTGTCGAACGCCACGATACTTAACGACGCCGTTTGACAAAGATTGCAGCTTTTGTTTGTTCTTCTTCGATCTCATATTTACTTGGTTGCTTTTATTAACTATTTGTCTGTTTTGCTTGTTTGCCGGCTTGGAGGAATTGACAGTGGAACAATCTTCGATCCTGATTTCGTTTATATGCCTTTTCGCCCTACGATGCCTCGACCGTTCACATTCGTCGCTGGAAGAATCCGTGGCGTCCTCATCGGTGACACAAATCCTGACAATTTTAGGGGCTTTTGCTTTGGACTGCATCGGAAACCACTTGCTGGATGGCTCTACTAGCTTTTTAGTTACAGTTCTTTGCTCTGTATATTTCACTGGGAACCAACTCGATGGCTTCATCTCCGGAACTGAATAATCAAAAATGGGTTTTTTTCTCAAGAACAAAATAAGAGAGAGAAAAATCTGTAAAAAGAAGCGATGTTTTCAAAATTGTCGGAGAGTAAAGAGCGAGAGACCGGTGATAAACAGGAGAGTTTCAGTTGTACGGGAGAAGTAAAAAATGGCAAGAATCGCTGTTTTATAGGAGTATCTTGAATAAAGGTTTACCTTAAAAATAAAATATTTTTGATTAATCATCGTTTCTCAAATATTTCTCGATTTAACACTAAGATAGAGAAGATTTCTCCTTGAAGGTGCATGGTTTAGGGAAAGCTTTAGCCAGATTTCTCCTCTAGAGCGTGTCTTTACCATTTTTTTTTATTAATTTATATTTTATTCAATAAGATTTTTATTATTTTTGTTTAATTAATTTTTGTATTCAATAAATTTTTTATTATTTTATTATTTTATTCTAAATTTATTTAGTTTGTATTTATTATTTAAGTTAAAAAAATAGAAGGTCTGGTGTTGTGATTGGATGTTAATCATATTTCGAGTCATTTTGACAATACGGTAAAAATATGAAATTATATTATTTTTTAAATTTTGAAATATTAAGAAATTGATCATATATTATTTAAATTGTTATAATTTATTTATTAGAATTAAAAGATAACCGATTACTCATTTACCATAAAGCTGATGTAGAAGTACACACGTTTTTTAATTTTAATTTTTTATTTAATTGTCTTTACATAATTAAATAAAAATAATAAAAATTTATTTAATAAAAAAATTAAAAAATGAGGAACCCCCACCTTTGAGGATGCGCCTCCAAGGAAAAATCTAACAATTATATTCTCTCTCCTCTTAAAACGTTTTTCACCAAACATGCCTCCTTCTCTCTTCTTCAAAAGAGTGTTAAATTAAAAAATATTTAAAAAAATGATAACTGATCTAAAATATCTTTTCTTAGGGTATTTTTTTGTCAAAACGCCTTAGTAAAGCTACTTTATTATAAATAAGTTTATTTTTCTTTTAATTTTTATTTTAAGGGTAAATCATAAATTTATATGCACTTATCTTTTTTCACTCTTATTTTAGTCATTAAAATTTAAAAACTATCAAGTTAATAATTTTAATTTTTTTTTATTTTGGTCGCTCCATCATTAAATACTTGATTGCATTATGACATAGGAGATAGTTAACTGATATACTAAAACGATATCATTTTAACTCTCTATAAAAAATTTAAATTTAAATCAAAATGATTCTTATGATTATTGAAGATAACTATTACAAAATGAGATCGAAAAGATTGAGATTTGAGACGATGAGAATAGTGATTTGTCGTTTGAGGCTATGAGCTTTTGGGATTTATGGTGATGAGGATGAAGTTGGTGAGATTTAATTTTGTTTTTTATTTTATTTTATAATCTTATGAGGTAGAAAAGATTATTTAAATTATTCAAGTCATAATACAAAATTAGCAAATAAATTATGTCACATTATATTTGTAATTTAATGGAAGAATTATTAAAATAGAGATATTTCAAAACTTGAGTGATTAAAATATAGATTTTATGAGTAAGTTGAATAATAAAATTTTATAGTTTATCCTCTATTTAATTAGTAACAATTATTAAATTATTTATCATTAACATTAGTGTATTAGAGAATAGAGACGGTTCCGGCGAATCCTGGAGATCCCGAACGATTTGCCGCATCTCCATCTTCGTGACACGTGTCCTAGAGCTCCCTCGAAATGGACTTGTCTGCAAGAAATAAGAACTTTTCTCACTCTCTAATGATCCATGTGTACCACACGCTTCATTCGCGTTGGATTACTTACCCGCAATTAAGATATTTGATTTGGCGGTGAGCCAAGGATCGTTAAGTGCATGTGAGATTAGTGTCTCTAACGCTGACTGGTGATATATCCGTCACCGGAGAAGAAGAACCAGCCCCGTTGCACGTAGTACCACTAGCCACGTCAGCAAGTTGCCTTTGACATATAAATTACTTAAAATATGAAAAATATTAGTATGTAAACTTGATAACTTTTGTTTTTCAATTTAATATATAATATTTTAAATTAATTTGATACTTGAAGTTATTAAAAAAAAAACTCCATCACTTGAACAGCGATAAACTTGTGATAAGAACAAGAGCAGCTACGTACGTGCATGAAGCTTGGGGGCCAAGGGATTAGACATGCACAAAGTCAGATAAAAAATTGATTCGGATTGAATAAAAAATTGATCTGGATCGGATAAAAAATCGATCCGGATCAGATAAAAATCGATCCGGTTTTTTCACATAGTTAAAAAATCGGATTTTAAAAAAATCGGTTAGGATTCTAATTGGTTTGGAGGGCTGGATGGTGTAACCGGTTTCAGTTTGAAAAATACCAATTTTTAAAAAAAAATCTGGATATAAAAAAACCGGTGGTGGTGAGCAGCACTACTCTTGTGCAATCTATCTCTACTCCTCCTCCTGAAGGCTTTGAGAGTAATGCTAAGCATCACTACTCTTGTTTTGTTTTCTTTGTTCTTCCTTCTTAAACACTTTCATCAAAGCACATTCATCACCATTTCTTGCAAATTTTTATTATCTTTCACTTAATTGTATTAGACCCTCATTTAAGCTCCATTTGACGCACACCTATCACAAACCAAAATCTAATCAAAGCACAACAATTCTAAATAAATTAGGTGTATTTATAAACATTTTATGCATCTGAAGAGCATATACACAAGACACTCATCAACGATAAATTAAAATACTTAAATATTACAATGTTAAAATTAAATAGTCATTAATTGCAGCAAAGTTTACGGTAATTGAAATACTTAAATACTTCCAAGTTCGATAAATTCAAATACTTAAAAACTTCCAAGTTTGATAATTGAAAAAAAGTTTACGATAATTGAAACAAAGTTTAAAAATAAACTACATCACCATCTCTTCTTCATCATCTTCGCCTTCTTCGTTTGGAGGGGATATTCCAAGTTCAACTTCTTCAATGTGTAAGTTTGCTTCCAAATCGGCATCAATTGCATCTTCTAGGGTGGTGATATGTTGCTTCCGAGCCGCTCCATCCAAATAATCCTTCAAACAAATGCATACTTCCACCGACTCGGGACTTAGTCTTGATCTCCGTTGCGATATAACCCTACCACTAACAAAAAAAGCGGATTCTGAAGCTACCGTAGAAGCTTGGACAGTTAGTAAATCACGAGCCATGGCGGCTAGAATCAGAAATTGTGCTTCATTTTCTTTCCACCAAGCCAAAATATCCAAAAACTTTCAAACTCTTCAAATGTCATTTTTTTTATAGAAAATCGCATGACATGTAATTTCTCAACTCGCTACTTGGGGTAATAGTATGTGGTCGTTTGGATTGAGAATTTACTAGAGTGTTAAAAAGTGACAAATTTATGTTACTTGGACGTCTACTAGATGATTCCGCATTCGTTCTCATTTGATCATGTATTCCACTACTTGATCCGTATTTAGTTAACTAAAATGCAAACATGTCTCGAAAACATTTGTTAAAATAATTTATTTGGTTTTGGACAAAGTTGGGTTCATCATCGGTTAAATTAAAAGTAAACGCAATTTGTTCGATTAGTGTTTCAACCCCGCCAACATTTAACGTTGGGTTTAAAGCGGCGACACAAATAAAAATGGGGGGAATATCCTTAAAATATTTTTAAAGTTTTTCCTTCATTGCAAAGCCAATTTCTTGAAAAACTTCGGATTCAAATTCAAAATCATTTAGTCAGTTAGCCAACAAAAATATTTGATTACGAACCAACGGGCTAGTAGGGTAATAAACACCGGATAAAAAAGTTGTTGCATTTTTAAAAACCCCAAGCAAATCGGTTATTTTGGCTATAGTTTCCCAACTCGAATCCGGATAAATGTTTGGGACATTGCCCCTCTCGAAAAGCCGATCGTGAAATGTTTGCAATGTTTCCCTTTGCCTTAATGTGGTATGCATCATCATCCAAGTTGAGTTCCAACGAGTTGGACAATCCAAATTATGACCCAAAGCTTTTTTATTAACCGACTTACAAAATCGTTTGTAATCATTTAGTATTTTGTTGTTGTTACAAAGAACTGATTTTATCATTGCTTTAAATTCTAATCTAATCGGCTCAATAACCTCCAAACCGGCTTGCACAGATAAATTAATTATGTGTTCAACGCAACGGGTATGAAAAAATGCACCGTCTAAAAATGGTTAAAATAATATTTTCAATCTTGGAACTGAGTTTGTATTATTCGATGCATTATCAAATTATATAGAAAAAACTTTATTTTCTAATTTATAAAGACAAATTACCCTTTTTAAAAGTGTAAATAAATTAGCATCGGTATGCGGCTCACCGAATAATTCAAACGCGATTGTTCTTTTCATCATTTTCCAATTATCTTGATCTAACCAATGTGCCGTAACGGCTAAATTTTTTTTTCCGGTATTATGAGGGGAACTCCAAACGTCACATGTAAGCGACACACCATAACGGTATTCTTGGAATCCTAAAATCATTTTTCCCTCGCCGTACGCCACATTTTTATACATCTCTTCTAAGGGTAGTACGACTTACTTGAGTATAATGTGGTTGCATTAGTTGTTAAATTGTTACCGTAAAATCTTCATCATCAAAATGGTCGAACGACAATGCTTTTGTAATCACAAACTTTGTAAACGATTCTCGCAATTTTTCGTTGTCGTAAACAAAAACACCACCTTGCGGTGTAAGATTCGATTGACTTGGATCCGATCTTGAGCGAAGTGCCTTGCATGATTTTGTAAAATGGTTCTTCAACGTTATGTTTCCTTCCGGTGCAAAAAACTTTAGACAAAGTTTATAACTCGTCCTCCTCGAGCCATTTGACATCTCACATAAATCGTAGTGATCCCAAATATCTTTGTTTCGTGTGTGTTCGATCACTCTCACGACTTCAAGGTTTTCCCGACGGAAGATTCAGCCGTGTTAGGGTCGGTATTTGTAGCTATGATGAACAAAAAATTACAAAAATAAGATTTGAGAGATGTTTAGGTATTGTGTAATAAGATTTGATAAAGTTGTAATCAACCAAATACATCCCCAACCTATTTATACATGTTTATGGTGGTAAAATG